CGCGGGGGGGGGGGGGGGAGGGGGGGGGGCCGAGGGGGCGGCTTTGGCCCCCTTCCTCGTCCCTCTCGCCCCTCCGTGCCTCCGAGACGCTGGGTCCGGCTTCCGGGCGGGGACCCTCCTGCCCCTCTTCCGCCTTCGTCCGCGAGGGAGTGAAGGGGGGGGGAAGAGGGGATCTCCTTCTTTCTCTCTCTCTTCGGTCCGAGGCTACACGTGACAGCGGCTGCAAACCCTGCCGGCTCTCGTGTCTGCTCGCCCCGTCGTGTAGAGAGGCGTCCTCCTCGCCGTAAATAACTTCCTCGGCGTGCCGGCTTGAAGGCGGCCGCCCTTTGGCGGCCTCAGCTGCTGCTGGCTGCCGCCGCCGCCACCCAGACCTGCTGCTTCTTAATAAATCGGTTTCTCACAAAATCATGTTTTTGAGGCAGGCTCGCTTCCCAGACGGGTCGGCGAGAGGCCGCCTCCGTCGAGCTGCTTCCCCAGGTTACAGTGGGGGCGAAAAGCCTTTGGTCGCCTTAGTGGATCGGCGCGTTAAAGAGAGCGAAAGGCAGGCCTCGGTTTACAAAGAGGGTAGAGGATGGCTGGAATCAGATGAACGGCCTTCAGGGAAAAATCGGGTTTAGTGAACGTCGTGTATTTCGACGCGAAGGTGAACTAACTAGTCGGGTAAGACGGGGCTGTTCGTAGACCAGCTTCCTAAACCACACGATTAACGAAAGAGGAAACCCATGGGGTTTCCTTCTTTAGGGCCTCATGCTATGTGTGGGTTATGGCGAATTCCTGCCGAAAATCCCTTTTCTTGTAAAGCCCTGTATTGAGACTTTAATCTTGAATTGGCTGTAACAGCTGACTAGGATAATTTTTGGCCTTTTCTGTTTCTAGGTTCTGTTTTTCCACCCACCCACCCACCACTCACTCATACAGGCTGCTGAACAGTTCTGGAGAATTGAAAAGTTTACCTTTTTAAATGATATTTGTGGCCCAATGCAAGTATTACCCAGCCCTGTTTCTTGACAGTCTTATAAAAAAGCAGCTGGGGGTGGGCGTTGGGGCAAGTGTCCCAGGCTATGCAAAGCAAGGGACCCTTTCCTGCCCAATTCCCATGTTCCATTAGGTCCTGCCCCACCAGTGATGGAGACACTTGCTCTCCAAGCCTGCCCCACACTAGTGGTGGAGACACTTGCTCCAGGGCCCCATAAACCATGTCCCTATTCCAGAATGGTTATTAGTGACTAATCATTTTGGAACATTAGGGGTTTATTTCTTAGGAACTAAGCTATAATATGAGAGCAAGTTGTTAGTTGGGCTGAATGGAATGTGTAGGAGTGGCAGTGTGATAAGGAGAAGGACTTGGATATGAATGCTAAAAAAAACAGGCTTTTGTGGTGTACCTGTGTCTGTAATAGCTTAAAATTGAGAGAGTGGAGAAAAGAAAATTGTATCCATCAGTTGTGTTGGATTGCAACTCTAGACATCTCTGTTTAGGCTGGAATTGATGGTGGTTGTACGCCACCATTGAAACCCAGGCTGTGGAAGAGTGAGGTGGGGCAGGAAAGCCAGAGTGCTGACTCTGCTGTGGGTGCCCGCTGGAGGAGGCGCTCCATCAGAGGCCGCATCGAATGAATGAACTGGCATGAACCAGCTCATATCCATCTCTGTCTAGACAGTATGGTGACCTTTTCCAGTAACTAGTGGATAATATGCTGCTTCATTTTTCCAGAATAAAGTGACATTTTATGATATTTGTGAATGAGTTCCAAAGTTGCCTTGTTTACCATACCTAAGCTCTGCTAAGTGCTTTAAAGACATTAAATTATTAGGTATATCTTAGCATTTAAAATAGTACTGTTTGTTGTGTTTCTGTCAAGTACAATATATGTGATGACCTGCTAGCTGCTGGTATAGCTCAGTGGGCTGGAGTACTTGAGTGCAGAGCCAAGGGTTAGGAGTTCGATTTCCCTCTGTGCCTTTCAGGAGAAGAAGCAGTCTGTGAGTCCTTGAGCAAGCTGCACAGTCTTAAAATGTTACCAGAAGTGAGGTCTAAAACGTCACTTCTGAATACTTTATACATAGACAACAATGAGAGGAGTTCGCAGAGGTTGAAATTGGCCTCATAGCAAGTAATTATTATTATGATATTGTAATATATCCAGTATAGTGAAGTGAGTAGAGTGATGGACTAGGACTCAGGAGACCTGGGTTCAAATTCCTGTTTGGCTGTGAAAACTCACTGGGTAGATGGAATGGGTGTAACTACTCCTTAAATATCTCACTTACCTTGATAGCCCAGTTTGAATTGCCATAAGTCAGTTCTGATTTGATGACACATATCATACAACACAGCATTGTAGGACAAAATTATGATGTTATGGCAAAGGTGGGCCAGGGGTACTCTAAAGCAGTGGTTCTCAAACTGGTGTCCCCAGATGTTCTTGGACTGCAATTCCGAGAAGCCTTCACCACTTGCTGTGCTGTCCAGGATTTCTGGGAATTGCAGTCCAAGAACATCTGGAGGCCCACATTTGAGAACCACTGCTCTAAAGAAGCTAGGTGTCAATAGACCAAGTAACTAAAGGTTGTAATTCCAACAACAGTAGTAAAGTAAAAGAAACTAGTATTTTATTCACATTTACAAATAGTTGGCAGAGTTAGGATGATAAAACAGAACTTTGTGTTTCAGGAGAAAAAGCTATATAATTAAATAATTTTAAATACAGTGGTGCCTCGCATAGCGAGGTTAATCCGTTCCGGATTAACCTTCGCTATGCTGAAGCATCGCTGAACGGGGCAGCGATTTCCATTGGAACGCATTAAACATCGTTTAATGCGTTCCAAATAGGCCAAATACTCACCGTTCAGCGAAGCTTCAGGATGGCCGGCAGCCATTTTCGCGCCCTGCAGTTCTTTTTAAAATAGTTTTGTCAGTGTTTTAAGGAAGAGGACAGAGTTTTGATCCTTACATTTAGTCAGTTAGTTAGAAGAGTTGGTGTGTTACAGAAAACTTCCACAGTGTCATTCAGTCTAGTCTATTTCAGACAGAGGGATTCTGGGTCACTGGCTAAAGTGATCATATAGTTTTATATGTTTTTGGAGTTTTCAATGTGAGTTGCTCAGATCCCAGTAGTGTTGCAAGGGAACTTCTGGACTGGAATTGACAGTTTAATAAATGATTATGCCAGATCTGCTGGATGCTTCATGTAATAGCTTATTGTCTTTATTTTAATGTTGTTTTTTAATGATGTAAGTTGCCATTTAATACTCATTGTTCTTAGTTTTAAATATTGTCTTTTAATGATGTAAACCACCATTGTATACTCATTGTTTTCAGCTTTAAATATTGTCTTTCAATGATGTAGATGGCCTTGGGTCCTTTTTAAGGAGAAATGCGGGGTAAAATATTTTAAATAGTAATAAATTTAAATAAATAATTTTCTTCTTATACAGTTATGGCAGAATGCTGCTGTTAAGCAGGAAATAGTTAAGATCTTTGGAGTCTTGGCCTTGGAGCAACTAGGGAGTTTGTAATATATAGTGTGCTTAAGTTTTGTATTTAAATTGGCATAACTGTAAGTTAGCAAATATAATTTATCATTCCTGCTAAATAATTAGTAACATATTTATGATACTTTGTATATGTGGATCAGGAGAAGTGGAAAATCTTTCTCATTATTTGTTACAGTGTCCTTTTCAATGGTCCCCAACCTTTTCGACTTGCGGACCAATTAGGGCTGTGGGGTCCATGCATGGGGGTGGTGGGGCATGCTTGCGTGGATGGTGCAGGGTGCACTCATTGGGGTGGGACATACGGGGGCAGGGTGTGCTCATGGGTGGCAGAGCACTTGTGCAGGCGGACGGGCCGTGCGTGCGTGGGGGTGGGTGGGAGATCTGTCTCCGCGGCCCGGTCCTGCCACAGAGCAAGAGTGCTCTGCTCACAGAATTGCAAGGGTGCCAATATTTTTGGTCATGACTGTGTATCTGCTCACACAAAGCATAGCGAAATACCTACATTTAACCGAAACAAAACTGTAAATGTTTCTCTGACCATCAACACAGACCATGCACAAAGCACATCATATATCATATTAAACAAGCCAACTAACTTATGCACACTACACCAAGAAGAGCAAAACAACAATAGCAATACAAATACAGTCATGCCTCGCTTTATGATTGCCCCGCATTACGACGAAACTGCATTGCTGCGATCTTTTTGCGATCGCAATTCCGATTGCAAAACGATGGTCTAAATGGTTTTTTTTCACTTTGCGATGATTGGTTCCCTGCTCTGGGAACCGATTCTTTGCAAAACGACGATTTTAAAACAGCTGATCGGCGAATTCAAAATGGCCACCGGGTAAACAAAATGGCTCCCCGCTGTTTCCTGCGACGGATTCCTCGCAAGACAGGCAGCGAAAATGGCTGCCCTATGGAGGATCTTCGCTGGACGGTGAGTTTTGACCCCATTGCAATGCATTGAAGGGGTTCAATGCATTTCAATGGTTTTTTCCCCGCTTTGCAATCTTTTCGCTTAACGACGATTTTTCTGGAACGAATTATCGCCGTTAAGCGAGGTACCACTGTAACACACATTTTCCTACTCTGTACCTCCTAGTCTACCCTGCTGGGATACTTCCTAGTATCTCCATTTTCCTTTGTTATTTCCTCATTTGTTTCTGGATGTACTTTCATATAAAGCAGTGGCCTGCATCCACATGTGGGGCCCAGTGGCATGCTCTGAAGTAAAGACAGTTCCTCACTTTGTAGCATGCCAGCCCCTTGGTTTTTAAGCTTGATTTTTTAGTAATGAAGGATCAAGGAGCCTGGGGGTGTTTTGTCATTACGGCTGCACCAAAGAACATGTTTTAATGAAGTTTTGAAGATATTGATAAACTAATATTTATCTCTTGTAACTAGTGAGAGATTTTTTAGCAACTGACTTTAAGCTTCTGAACTGTGTTCAAAGGCAGCTCCATTGCTCAGGACCATGCAATAGGGTAGGAGATGGCTAGAACTTGTGACATGTCTGCAAATATTTTGAGATGAAAATAACTCATGATTTTTGAGTAATGATTTAATGCTGAGGTTTGGAGAGTTACACCAGTAAATGTGGGCAAAATGCTGTCTGTTTCAGTTTTGGGTGATGAATTTCAGTTGTTGGAACATGGAAGCACATGACAACAGTACATGAAACAAACATGAGGCTTTATAAAATGTTCCATCCCAAATTAGGTAAAGGGTTCCCCTTGACATTTAGTCCAGTTGTGTCCGACTCTAGGGGGCAGTGCTCATCCCCGTTTCCAAGCCATAGAACCAGTGTTGTCTGAAGACAGTTTCCACGGTCACGTAGCCAGCGTGACTAGACACAGAATGCCGTTACCTTCCCACCGAAGTGGTACCTATTTAACTACTCGTATTTACATGCTTTTGAACTGCTAGGCTGGCAGGAGCTGGGACAAGCGACGGGAGCTCACTCCGTCACGTGGATTTGATCTTACGACTGCTGGTCTTCTGACCTTGCAGCACAGAGGCTTCTGCAGTTTAACCCACAGCGCCACCACATCCCAAAGCTAACTGACCTTCAAATATGCTTTATAATTTTTTCTGGTTTTTACAAAAAAATTAAGCTTGCAGACACTAGAAATAGACACAGTAATTCAAAATACTGATCTTAAATGAAATCTATCTTCTGCTAGAAGCTGAGACTTAACTCTTGTGTTCTCCGTTTGCCATATTGAACAGCAGTAATGTATGAGCCTCCAGAAAAGAATGCATAGATTGCTAAGGGCCAGTGTAGTTTCATCTGTCTTTGGAGTAGAGTTCCTGGTTTGTTTGATCATGGAAATGACATGGACTTAGTACATCTTTATTTCAGTGAAATATTTGACCAGGTCTCACTGAGATCCTTGCCAGCAAGAGAACCTGATTGTTGCTATTAATAAATAGATCCCCAGTTGGACAACTATTCTGAGCAGGTGTTCCTTAATAGGTTTGCATCAGTTAATAGCTCTGTGGGAGAAGCTGAATAATGGGAGATTCAGGAAATAACCAAAAGGAAGTATTTCTCTACACACTGTTCCATGGTGAGCTATGAAATTCATTTCTTCACCATGTGGTTCCTTGCCTCACAGTGTGTGGATGCTGTCCTCAGATAAATTTTGAGAATGAATTACCATTTTTTCAGTGTATAAGATGCCCCCCTCCTTTTCTAACCCAAGATTTCTGTCTTCATAAGAAAGTGGAGAGGGAAGGTAGGGATCAAAGCACTTTGATTCCTGCTTCTCCCCTCTACTTTTTTGTGAAGAAAGTGGAGGGGGAAAGCAGGAATAATCAAAGCACTTTGATCCCTTCCCCCTTCCTTAATTCAGTGTGTCAGACGACCCTCAAATCTAAAGATTTTAGATAAAAGTATCATCATATACATGGAAAAATACAGTACGTAAATTCATGGATGTTGATAAGCCAGGATCAGAGGCAGCATGTTCCAAACACAATTTGCTGGTGGAACAATGGTGGAAAAACTCTCTTACCATCATTCCTTTCTTGTGAGTATGGTAAATTAGATTTAAATCAGATTGATATAAATCATGATTTAATTGTTTTTAAAATTGGATTTTTTTAATGATTTAAATTAAAAAAATGATTTAAAAAATTTAAACCATAATTTCAATCCACCCTGCTTGTGAGTGCCCCTAGCCATCTGGTAGGCCTATCTAGGTAAAGGTAGATAAACCTTAGGTGTGATCCGAAAGGGGCCTTATGTTCTTATATTCTAGCTATAGTCATGACTTTACCAGACTACTGTAAAGCTCCATCCTAGGCTGTGTGCTGTTTGAGATTTTGATAAGTGACATGGATTAGGGCATGAGGATTATTTATAAAGAAATACCAGAGTCAAAATTATGTCAAGTTTCAAATAAGGAGCTTAAAAAACTTTTAAAAGTGCTTAAGAGTGCTGATTTGTCAGATGAAGACTTCTCAAACATATGTTTCAGAGAAGTGGAACATCTGAAATTTAAAAAAATGCAGTATTCCTCAAACTCAAACCAAAATATTGTCCAAAATGTTTTGTAGTTGCAAAAATAAAGCTAAAATATCAACTTTATCTGTTTCGCTTTTCAAGAAACTTTTTTTTATATCCTAGCGCCAAGGATGATATTGACCTTGATGCTCTTGCTGCTGAAATAGAGGGTGCAGGTGCTGCCAAGGAACAAGAGCCTCAGAAGTCTAAAGGCAAGAAGAAAAAGGAAAAGAAGAAACAGGAATATGAGTAAGTGCTCCATTGTCCTATTCCAAAGAAGGCTGCAGATGCAAGAAAGTAGTATGTGTCCCTAGCTGAATGAAGAACTATGGGCACAGATGTGGTCTGTGGGCATACTTTTCTTCATTAAAAGATATCCATCAATTTTTACAGTAACGTGTGCGCGTATAACAGGAATCTGAATCCATCCTCCCTAATAATATGCTCCAGCATATTATTACCACTTTTGATGAGGGGCCCTGTGTTCAGGTAGGGAGGTACATACTGTACATAGAATACGTCTAATACACATGACTCAGTCCACATGCAGCAGATTTATCAGTTTGGTTCCAGTAGGGCAAGTTATGCTCCCACCTTTATGAACCCATGGATTCCTGATAAAATTGCCAGCGACGGCTTCATCTTTCTGTTTCATTTGAATATAGAAAGAGAGGTGGAAGAGAAGGACCATCCCTCTAGGATTGAGTTGCTGGTTATTCTGACTCCACCCTTGAGCAGTTTCCTAGATAGAAAGGGTCTGTGAGTCCAGGTGTGTAGAATGGAATTTGCTTGGTCATGTGCATCTTCACAAGGTACAGTACTTGCTAGCTTGGAAGCATAAATTCTGGAGCAGATGGTAGAGCACATAAAGAAGAGAATGCTTCTTCATCCAATTCTGTTTCTATAAATGTTTTAATGTTGTCTGAGTCTTTTCAGAAGAGAGAGTTGGGGAAAGAAGAGTGACTTCAAGAAGGACAGAATTTGTTGGAATTATGAAAACTAGCCAGCACTATTTCCTAGGCAGTGGATGCACCCTTAATTTCTTTGCATAGACTCAAACACAAGCTGTGTCTCAAACATGTCTAATTGTTCTTGTAGTGAAGATGATATCTTGAAAGAGTTGGAAGAGCTGTCTCTGGAGGCACAAGGAGGGAAAGTTGAAAAAGAACCAGCTGTCACCAAGGTAAAATACAGTGAGGGAAGCAGTAACCAAAATATTTCATTATAGTTTAGAACTGTGGTCAAAACAAACTGAAATTGTAAAATGGGAGATGTGGTGTAGCTGAGAAAAAAAATCACAGTATTTCACACGTGGAAAGTGATATCATATAATCTCCTTTGCTACAGAAGCAGAAAACATAGATGTTTCACATGCACAGTATTTATATAAACAATCCAGTGAAAACTAAATGTTATTGTAAGTTCTACACAGATGAGAAATCCTTATTTTTTAAAAATATGTCCATCCCAGTGTGAACAGTTGGCTGCAGACAGCAATGTACTTTTAAAATACTTGACACACAAATGATATCTGATTATACATTTCTCAACAGAGTGTTTAGGCTGCATCCAGATTTTAGTCCACATTGAAAGAATTTGTCATACCGTATATGCTGCCGTACTAGGCGACCGGCTGTATTAGACGACCCCCCCAAAATGCGGCACCGGGAAGAGGCTGGGGGGGGCGGCGGGAGGAGGAAGAGGGGAAATGGGGTTCGCAGGCGAGCGCCGCTTCCCTCCCTCCATTTGCCTGCCTGCTTGGCGGGCGAGCACCGCTTCCCTCCCTCCATTTGCCTGCCTGCCTGCCTGCCTACGTTCCTCCCCGGCGGCAGGAGGAGGGGGAGGAAGAAGAGGGGAACCGTGGGTGGCGGGCGAGCGCGCTTCCCTCCCTCCATCTGCCTGCCTGCCCGCCTGCCTTCCTCCCCGGCCAGCGCGGCCCCGCATCACTCACTCGGCAGCGGCGGCGGCTCCTTCCTGTCACCCGGTGTACAAGACTGGGCCCCCCCACTTGGAGGCATGTTTTTGGGGTCCCAAAAGTCGTCCTGTACGCCGGCATATACGGTACCTGTAATACGTATTTTTAAATTCAAAGCTTTCAACGTTTTCCATTGATAATATGTTAAGTTGAAAAATGCTTTGATTTACCAGACAGAGATTAATGATGATGAACTCAGCTCCTCAAAACAGGAAAAGAAAAAGAAAGAGAAAGGAAGGAACAAAAAGCCGAGCTTGGAGGATGATGATGACAGTGAAGAAATGGACAACAAAGACAAAAAGTCAAAAAAGGCCTCTAAACCTCACAAGGAAGCTCCCTCTGGCAGTGATGATGATGATGAAGTTGATTTCTCACTTAAGAAGAAGAAAGTAAAACATCAAAAATCAAACAAGAAACAGGATCTCTCTGAGGATGATGAAGTTTTGATCCTTCGGAAAACCAAAGAGAGTACTAAAACAGTATCCTCTGGAGAGAGTGATGAGGAACAAGATGATGGTTCAGAGTCGAAAAAAGGACAAAAAAAGAATCAGAAGGCAAAGCCAGTGGCTGAGGTTGAAAGTGGTGATGAAGACGTGGATTCTTCCTTCAAAATAAAAACAGTGGCTCAGAAAAAAGCTGAAAAAAAAGAACGAGAGAGGAAAAAGCGTGAAGAGGAAAAGGCCCGGCTGAGGAAACAGAAGGAAAAAGAAGATTTAGAAGTCAGCAAAGAACAGGGAAAGCAGAAAGAGGCCCCAAAGAAGACTGAGAAAGAAACGAATCCGGAATCTGTGCCAGCACCTACCACTATGGAAAAAGGAGAGGCTTCTGTAGTAGCAGAAGGTTAGTAATGCAGTGGGAAGAGAATGTCAGAAACATTTTCATGAAGTCAGATGTGGCTTCTGAGAGAATTGGCAAGCTAAGAGAAAAGTGGTTGTTAAAGAAGGAGTATTAGCAGTGTTGAGTGACTAGTCTTTCTACTGATCTATGTTTTTCTTTAACATGCAGTGAGATACTGCTATGTGACACTAATGGTTTTAGTGTCAATTCATTTAAGAATGTAATTTTAGTGTCCATCAACATAGCAATATCAGTGTAATGCCATGGTTCCCAACCTTGGGTAATGCAGGTGTCCTTGGACTCCAACTCCCAGAAACCCCAGCCAACATAGCTAGTGGTGAGGGCTTCTGGAAGTTTTAGTCCAAGGACACCTGAGTTACCTAAGGGTGGGAACCACTGGTATAATGGAACACTGATGCTGTAAAGTAGTGAATTTGCTACTGTATGGTGATAATTTTAGAAGATAGCCAGTCAATGGGTTAGACAGTGAAAAAAAAAAACAGCTTTTAAAAATTATTATTTTGTGAGGAATTCCCAAGTTATGATTAGCTCTGATTTGGATAGATTTCAGAATGTAATGATGTTGCCAGTATCTTCTGAGTTAATCATAGAATGTACCATTCCATTTACCCTGTTCAGTAGTGTGAGGGTTCGGTTTTCGGGGCTGTCTGTTCTTCAAATAAAGGACGAGTCGGTTGAGGTAAATCAAAGGGTTCAGTATTTATTGCAACATCAATTCCAACAGAGTTCACCCCTAAAAAGGGGTTCAAAGATTCTTGAAACACATTACTTGGCTTTAACGGGGTCCATAAACCATTTATAAAAGGGTTTGTTGTCTCTGGGTTCCAAGGTCCTATTAATAATGGCCCAGTCCCCTGCCCAGGGTCCAGTTCTTCGTCTAGGGATATCAATGGTAGAGTCTCTTCATCCCCGCTCCACTCGCCCCAGGATGACCCGTCTCCTCCTTCGACTCCCCAGGGGCCGGGCAACCCCCCAGCTTCCTCAACTCGGCTATATGCCATTGTTTCTTACGTTCCAGTTCTTGTGCCACAGCTTCCCTTTCCTCCTGGAGTTTCCTCCTCCACTCTTTAGCCTCGGTTTCACCCCAGTACGACGGGCGAGGCTTTAGCCCAAGTTGGCGGCGTTTCTCGGCCTCCTCATGGGGGACTCGAACCTCCTCCCATTTGTGGGTCCAAGGATTCTCCATCCAGATCCCCTCCCATCCCCCCGGTATTTCCGCCAGCTTCCCTCTAAGGCCTCCATTTTGGGGGCCTCACAAGTAGGTATTTTATTTTCTTTTTGAAATTATCTTATTGTAAAAAGAAAGGATAGCCTGAATTTACTTGGAGAGATCCAATACTCAGTCATACAGCTGTCCTGATTTGGTAGCTAGTTTATTTGAGTAATGTAGTTCCAAAGCAAATATGTTAGTTGGCTATAATTTGTGCATGCTTTGATCTACAAGTTAAATTCTTTGTATGTAAAAGGGCTTCTGAGTGTGGCTCTTTTTAGAGAAAGCCCCAAATGATGGAGATCAGCTATAGTACCTGAAAATTTCAGAGACTGCCATGAGTACAGCAGAAACTGCAACTATGTGTGGCAGGGAGCCTAGTCGGCTTGTGCAAGTGTTTATGTATGCATCAAATGTATTTCCTACATTTTAAATTTTGTCATACATTCTCTTTTTAAAACATGAAATTTTTGAAATTAGTAATGGACTTTCTCACTTAGTTGATGATAATGAAGGAGAGAAGAAGAAGAAAGAAAAAGATAAAAAGAAAAAGAAAGGAGAGAAAGAAGAAAAAGAAAAGGAGAAGAAAAAAGGTCCCAGTAAGGCCACGGTGAAGGCAATGCAGGAAGCTTTGGCTAAGTTAAAAGAGGAGGAGGAAAGGGCAAAAAGGGAGGAAGAAGAGCGAATAAGACGGCTTGAGGAACTGGAAGCCAAGAGGAAAGAAGAGGTATGACATCTTTTCTCATCAAGTGGGGAAAGGATAATACAAGCTTTTGTCAATACATTTTTACCTTTAAAGAACTTTAATGTTACTTGATCTTCAGAATTGTATTACCGTATTTTTCACACCATAAGATGCACCTTTTCCCCACAAAAGGGGAAGATTATATTTTCCTGTTTTCTTCTCCTAAAAATTGGTGCGTCTTGTGGAAAGGTGCGTCTTATGGAGCGAAAAATACGGTATACCTTCAGTGTCTTCTTCCTGTGGGGCAATGAGTAGGATGGGGCAGCAAGTCATGGGGTCGGTCTGGTGAACATTTTTTCATACTTAGTGTTACTGCGAGAAAGTACATAGGATCTTTATATCTCAGTTCCGTGCATGTTGACTGCAAGGCAAATCTTACCAGGTTCCTTGGGGTTCATTTCCAACTAAAGGTACCCGGGATTGCAGCCATATCAAAGCAGAACATAACATTGAGAAGTAGTTGTTGTGTATCAAAGTCTACCTGTGAATGCTGGAAAGTGTATTGTCCCTATTCTTTGTAGGAACGCCTGGAGCAAGAAAGAAAAGAAAGGAAGAAACAAAAAGAAAAAGAGCGGAAAGAGCGTTTGAAGAAAGAAGGAAAGCTTTTAACTAAATCTCAAAAAGAAGCTAGAGCCAGAGCAGAGGCTACTCTTAAACTACTGCAAGCTCAGGGTAAGAATTGCTTTCTCCATTAACTTTCTAACTTTCATTGTGAATCTCTTATTTTCCATTGTTTAATAGCAAAAGATACCATATTTTTCCAATAACACACCCCCATTTATAAGACTCCCCCCCCATAATTTTCTGACCCCCAAATTAAGAAAACTTAGCTTTGAGGATTGAGCCTCTGAGATCAGAACGTCAGAGATTTTGTCTCTGTTGAATTTTGAGCCTACAGGCTCCACCTCCAAGGAGGTGTGTTCCA